ACTAACAAAGACTGCCAACCACAAATGACTTTTTCCTGGCCTAATGCCCCTGGATAGGTTTTCTTATGTTCACAGAAAGACAGAAGGCCGAGTTAGAGTGAGATGATGAAGTAGTTGAGCTATCTGTGACTTAATATTTATGAACTGAGGTAGGTTTACCCAGGTTGAAGACCCCTGCTTAACTGCAGATTTTAAATGAAGTTTAAGTTTGCTGATCCCTCTGCTGGTCCCTACACAGGACTACAGAAAACTGATGCTTGCTAAACTAGCTTGGATCAGGCCTTGCACCCTGCAGGATCTCTGGGTGCCAGTTCATGTGCTAATCTGGGCTCAGTGGAGGTCCCCAGACTGCCACAAGAGCAAATTAGTTAAAGACCACATAAGATACTTGCTGCGATGACAAAAGTCAAATTTGGTAGTCCTTTCAGTAGCTAAAGGCATTATTTGCATTTGATTGTGGTTCACTGTGTCCAGTTTCAGAGTGCCAGTAAAACTATTTTTAGAGCCAACACTGCTTTTATGATGAAACAACACTACTCATGACAGTAACTTTGTGGTTGGTGTAGCTTCTGTTGTTTTATAGATTACAGTAGTTACAGTAGTCTTCCCCACTGTGCCATGGTAATCCCTACCCGCAATATACAGTGCATGTGCTGTAGCTAAGGAGAGGTCGGTTGTCTGAGCTGGAACTCCTGTACAACCAGAATGGACTCCTGAGGCTTCATTATGATACAGCAGACTGCCACAACCTCTTCCTACTCAGGGCTACAGCTATGAGCAGAGCAAAACCAGTAATTTTAAGTGTGTGTGTGTGTGTCCTGCAGCTTCCTCCTCTGGTACTGGAAATGGATGTAGGGTTGTCAGTAATTGGGATACATTTCCACAGTTTATTTTTACTGATGTTTGCTTGTTTGCAAGTACAACCGTTAGGCTATAGTGCATATTGTATTTGAGTCCGAATATTGTTGTCCTCAAGGCTTTTGTTTTCCTTCTGCATCTGCACACCCCTTAACAAAGAGTGCCTTTGTTGGTATTGCTAAATTTTACTCTGCTGTAGTCCTGATTAGTGGAACACACATGTTTGGGTACCGACATATATACAGCTTTTCTCTCCTCTCCCCACCCCTCTCTTTGAATGAAGTGCAAGGCCCTATCAGGGCTCAGCATTCACTCAGAGTGATTGAGTGCCTGAGAGGGATTTTAGCAGCTCAGTAGATTTTTAGATAGTCACAAATCAGGCACTTAATCAAAGCAAGGAGGCGAAGACTACGACACAAGGAGGACATTGTGATAATATGTGGAGTGGGAGGAGATGGATTTCTTTTCTTTACGCTGAGATTTGTTCCCTACTGCTATCTACCAACCAGCTGCTGAGTCCAGCACTAACAATGGGAGCTGATAGTTTTTTTTCTTTCTTTTTTCAGATACTGTTCTCTGTTCTCCTCCACATTGATAGAAAAATGACTTTATCACAAGAGAACACCTGTGTACTGGCTTCAGCACATTCTGAATCACACTGCTGTGTGCACCCTAAACAGTGTCACTAATTAGCAATTTAACAGCAGCACTCTGATGCATTATGTAAAGATCAGAGTTTTTTATTTTTAGTTCAGCATACTTTATGACTGATTTGTCTTGTGGCCAACAATGAAGAGGTTCATTCCCAATGTGCTCCAGTAGACTCTGATGAATGAACACAAAGCAGCTCATAGTTCAGGCCTGTAGTCGCCCGATTATAGTGATGAGAAAAGCAATCCCTATTAAAGTTTTTATGAATGACCAAATGAGATAAAAGTGTCAGCATTTGTTCAGACTGACCTTTAGTCTGGGCTCCCTAGCAGGGCAGCAGCATGTCCTCTCCAGTGCAGTTTGATGTGTCATGCTAGTTAAAATCTCAGTAATGACATACAGCAAACACTGAGGTAGTTTATGGAGCAAGTGTGGCACACAGAAGAAACACCTCCCCTTCAACCATGTCATGACTGCACTGTAGGAGTGCTGTATGTTGATAAGAGAAGGTTGCAGGTTTCTAACAAAAGAGATGTAAAAGTTTTCACATCATTTTTTTTTTCACTTGACAGCAGTAGGTGTAGGCCCTTAAAATGTGCAACAGGCATGCTCACAGTAAAGCCTGCTAACATGATTTCTTCAGGAGAACCGTATGTGTCATCATGCAGTGATAATGTGTCAGTCATCTTTAATGATCGTCTCCTCTGTTGATCTGGTCTTTTGGTCCTTTTTTGTTTTCCAGATACAGTCAAAGGCAATAAAACAGTTGCTCTCAGTCTGGAGACAGTTGGCAGATGTGCTTGTTGTGAATTATTAAATCATAGTAGATGTGACAGGCATGGCTTATTGGATTGAGCATATTTGCTGCTCACTCAGTTGGCATATTTTTGGAGCAGTTTATACCTTCTGGTGTATTTATTAATTACAAGGTGTTGGCTCATGGGGTGTTGTGTAATTTTTATTTAGACATTTTTACAGGACTGTTAAAATGAAACGGGTTTGAGTAGAGAACAGACCGACTCCCAACACCAGATGCAAACAACACTGCAGCAATCAGCTGGACAAAATGAATCTGATTTATATAGGAGATGTATTGCTACTCTGTCTGAGGATGCATGCTTGTATTGATTACTGTACCTTGTATTGCATTTTCATATATTTTCAGATAAATAAAGGGTCAACAACAAGAAATCATTCACCACAGGGTTATAAAAACCCCAACTATATACTGGATACCTTTTTTATGATCTCAGTACTTGAATATTAGGCGTACCATCGGCTAGATATTGATAACATCTTTCCATATCTAGCTGGGGCTGCTGAATTTTTGTCAGGGTTGTTCGGTGGCTCACCAGACTTACTCTGTATCTGTGCAGCCTGAGTTCCTGTCTCTGGCCTTGTCAGAACCATTCTCATGTCACAACCCCTCAGGCCCTGAAGCAGTGAATAGTGGAATCACATTTTCATGACAGTGGTGGCAAATGTGTGTGGACCATATCCTGTCATAAATGGATGCCAGGTCAGACTATTGCTCTCATGCTCAATTGCTCTGTCAAAGTGAGCAGACAGGTGGAGGGAATGTTTTCAGCCTCAAATCTGTTCCTCATCACCCAGAGTGCAGGACACAAACATGGGAAGGTGACCAAAGCCCATTGATCTTGACTACATACAGTTCTTCTTCTTCTCCTTCTCCTTCTTCTCCTTCTCCTTGCATACATATATCCACTACAATGTTGAGACTGAGGTATCCATTTAAAGCTCCTCACTCTGTTTCACTTAGAAGACTGAGTGTTTGAACAGCCCTCTTGAGCCTGACTTGTCTGCTCTCTGCACATCTTATTTCATTTGAATTAACCCACCTTTCCGCTCAGAGGTTTTATTTATGTCCAGAAGACCAAGAGTTCATAGCTCCAACGGCCCTTCCTTTTTTTTTTTTTTTTTTGGATTCTTTTGATGGAAGCTACTGCTTTACTAGACGTGTCTTCTGTCCCTGATGGCATCTCTTTTCATTATCTCCGTGGCACACTAGCTGGTCCACTCAGATAAGCTTGTGTATTATATTTCTGGGAACATGTGTCTCATCTACCGTCTCTTCAGTCTGCACCCACTTTTGTGTTGAGTCCCAGCACTGGTGTGGTGTTTACTTTGAACCTCTGTCCATTATCACAGTTTTAATATTCAGTCTCACACTTGTACCTACTCAGCTCACCTAAGAATGATTTCACTGTCAGGTCAGTTTTAATAACAATGACAAATATAACAGTAACTGGTTATAAAGTATTAAGCTGTTTTTGGCTACTTGAGCTTTAACCTATCATCTTTATAATTTTATTTCTAGAAGCGACTGTGCTGAAGACTTTGATGAATGTACAAGACTGAAGCATTTATTTCAGTCATTCGGGGTGTATGTTGTCTTTGACATATATTTCCACAGATTAAGTTACATAATAAACAATACATGAGCAGTTGAACAGACCCATGTGAGAGCCCTCTTTTCTGGGGCCATAGGCTATTGCCTTGGCTAAGCTGTGACTAGTGAGCATGTAGCTTCCCTCTTTTCTCCTGTCAGAATAAACTATATTAAACCACACTGCGGTGCAACAGATGGACAAAGAAGAACACAGCAAATGTACTACCCTTTTCTTAAGAAAGCTGTTGTAAACACAAAAGATTTTAATGCCTTGCTCCCTCATGCCGCTGTAGCACTCTGAATATTCCCCCTCAAAGCCTTTCTTCATATCCCTCCCACCACACTCCCTCCCCTCTCTCCTCCCATCTCTTGTCTGTGTGCACCGTGCGGCTTTATGCTGAGCACAAGGCATACCGATATAAGTTTAATCCAGGCAACGGTCAGAGCTGGAATGTGAATTTGAAATAGCCATTTTGCCAACATTCAGTAATATTCATTAGAATATTCAACAGCCAGCGCGGCTGTCAAGGTGGACTCAGAGGGGGGGAGATGGACTCCTGGAACTGTGTGTGATGTTTTGTTCTCTTCATTTCTTTGTGTGGATCTGTGCGTTTTCACTCTTAATGCTTGGCAGCAAGAGGTGTTACCTCTAGCTCTGAGTTTAGATTTAAAAGGAAATTGCAAGATCTGCCTTTCAGGCTCTGATGAGCCTCTGATTAATAGATAAAGCGAGAGGAGGAGGAGACCCAGATGAATCAAGGAAATTCGTACAGTCTCTGCTTTTTTGGACTCTGGTTTTTAGAAGATTCTGATTTTAATGGTATTTATTGAATTTTACTGGAACTACGCCTTATGTGTTTGCGTTGATTGCAAATTTGTTTTTGTCACCAGCTGAGAGAGAGATGCTGTAATGTTGTGCTTGGCTTTGAACTCTCTTGGAGAGAATTTTGTTTTCACCTGATCACCAGTCCCTCACAGGCTGAATACATTGCAATCTACTCTCCTACCCCTCTGCCGTTCTTTTTTTTTTTTTTTTTTTTTTTTTTTTGGCTGTATATTGTGAGCTGGTCAGTCGCTGTAACAACTGGGCAGTGATTTTTAACAGAGACACTCTTGTTGAGTCCTGCAGACTGAACAGTCACAGGCTCTTTAGAGGATTCTCTGGTTTTCTGCCCCTGGGAGTTTTGACTTACCTGATTTAGCTGGAGGTGACTTTAATTGCAGTATCATACAGGACCATCAAAAGCCAGGATGCAGGTGTCATTAGTGTGCACAGACCATCGTGGGGGGGTCAGCCGCAATACAGAGGACCGGCTAAACCGACAGAATGCCAACAGCCCTAACACAGGCACCCGCTGCAAGTTCAGAGCAGTGGCGATGGTAGCTCGCAGTCTCGGACAGCTCTCTGTTCAGAGTGTGCCTTCCTCCAGCGAGCAAAGCATGAAGACTGGCATGAAGTATAGGTGGGTCACATTTAAAAAAGTGTTGACTGGTCACTATACATTTGGCCCCAAAGCTTTCAGACATATATTAAATATTTAGAGGGATTGTAAACTGGAGGATTTGCCACCTTCTTCTAAAGTATATTTTAATGCCTGTTTTCTTCCCTTCCTCCTGTCAAAAATGTTAAATCCCACCTGTTTAAGACTTATGACAGTGCTTCATTGCGTCAATACTAGTAATAAGCCTTACCAAACCTTTTACATACTGTATCAAGTGGGATCACAAAAACAGCCTAAGGAGAGAATTGCCATTTGGAGTTTTATCAGATCTTTGTACTTAAGTGGTAAATAGTTGACATCACCTGAATTTCCCTCAGGATCAATTAAATATCTATCTAATTTGAATTTAGGCCATGGCCATTGATGTCTTATTTGTTCTGTGTAGGAGTGACACAAACAAGAAGTACAAAGTATGGTAAACGCATTTGTGCAGCTTGAAAGATGAGTCCATATAGTCTTCTCGCGCCACAGTCCGTTTTTTGAATGTATCAACTGTCGTATTTAGGATTATGTTGGTTTCATTCTGATTGCTTTTGTGATGGCTAAAAGGTTTTGTATTTTATTTAAAGGGATGAAGAAACCCCTGTGTTTTATCTATCATACTCTATATCGAACGCTTAAGCAAAGGTTGACAAGCAAAGAATTATTTGTAACAAAATGCTTATGTCTTTGCAAATGCAGATTTGTGTTAGGAAGTTATGAAATCAAGGGCTGAAAAAGGAACAATTTTGAAGTTGAAAATCTGTAAAAGCATATTAATGTGCTGAGGGTAGAGAATTGGATAGAAAATTACACCGAAATGTAGAATGGAAAGAATTGGAGATAGGATCAGTGAGAAAATGAGCTCACATTGTTTTCCAGGGCAGTAACATTATGATCTGTAGCAAGCTGGCTGTTAATGCAATGTATCTGCTCCCCACTTCACACTTTATTCAGCCTGGTAGAACTTATTTCCTCACATGCAGATCAACAGATCACTAAAGACAATTGTTTGGCATAAAATATTATTTTAAATGAGCACTAAGCGACTTCATAATGTTATAATATTAATCCATATTTTCATCTACCAGTTTCCCATTTTTTAGCCTTGCTTTGAGTAATGATCCTAAGGCATGCTGCCTTATTTTTAGAACATATTGGCAGTTATTGTGATTGAAAATGAATATAATTTAACACTTCTTTGAGCTTGTTGTACAGATATTTCTGTGGTGATATTAAAACCACAGCAGAAATGTCACAATGTAGATGTGGTGAAGAGCCTTACTTTAAATGCTTGTTTGTGGTTTTCTTGTTTTTAATCATTTTACTGTGTATCTGTTCTACTCTTTTACCAAAGATTGCAATCACAAGAAGAAAATGTTTGTACATGGTCTTTAAGGGATGGTCTTGCAAATGATAAATGACTTGAGTTGTGACGAATATTGTATTTTAATTAACAGTTTATCTTTTCAAGCCCTAAACCTTAAGGAGGAAAACGGCAAGATGTGTCTTTTTAAAGTGGTGAAAATTAGTGGTATGGTGATTAACTGAGCTGGGGGTTAATTTGAGGAAAGGCGTCCTCTGCAGTGTTGTCTGAAGCCACATCACAGTTCTGTGCATCTGATTCCCTAGAGGCAGACTCGCCACGTCGATACACTGTTATTATTGAGGCTAATGATATTGAATGAGTAAAATCATTTTAAGCCTGGAGGCCAGTGGCTGTTCACATTCTTAGTTTTCACGTTGTTGTCAAACATACATAACAGACTCCGTGTTTGTGAACCAGGCTTGTATATGATGTGAAATGAAGGTAATGCAGCCCTAAATGCAACATGAGGCTCAGAGATTAATGCGCTGAGGGTACAACATGTAGTGTTTGCGGTTGAAGAAATGTGAATAAAAGGGAAGGAAGGAGAGAGTGAAAGATCGAATGGGAGAGCACTAAGCTTAGTGCTGATGGTGGCTTTAAGCACTAAAGGAAGACAGTATGCTGGAGTGATCAGTGCTCATGTCACTGTTTTTCTGTCAACCGTGCCCCTTAGAGTTGAAGCTTGCAAACCCTGGAACATGGTCGATGTATTTCTCTTTTCATTCTTGATCACAAGATTTTTTTTTTTTTTCTCCGTTCAGGTTAGTTAGAATTTATCATTTTGTGGTTTAGTAGTTTTCAAACTGCTTTCTCAAAAGAATACAGTTAAAGCTGTCTTACATACCCAGAGAATCTTTCCACAATTATCCACATTGCTTGAGCTTGAATCAAGACTGTCAGACTACATGTATGTCCAAGGATGCAGGTTAGGTTGGACGTAGCCTCCCCCATATGGCCAAGGAAGCCATCAAAGCAAACATTTTTTTTAAGGTTTCAAAGGGATTGTGGCAGCATTAGTGGGCTGCCTCAGACTGAGCCATTCTGTAATGTAACGCTGGGTGTGCATGACATGACTGGTTAAAATCATCAAGCTCAGCTGTGAGAGCTTGCACCTCCTCCAAGAAATGATTAAATGACTTCAGTTAGAACTGAATTAATGATGCACACAAAATGGGTTATGATTATGTAAAGTAGTCTTGCTCGGGGAATGGAAGAATATCAGAGATTGGACAGAGAGACAATCCCATAAGAGCTCTGCTTTTCACAGTTTGGTATCAGCTTTTCTCTCAATCAGCTAATCCCAGGGAGGGTCAAGGGCTAGGTTTATTTGCTTAGGTGTAGCAAATAAACTGCTGAAAAGTGATGCTGAGGTGAATAAATCTGAGCACATATCACTTTTCATGCTTTGTGCAGACTAAATTTGAGAGCTCACCATAAATTGTTGTTGATAGCGTTTGCGCTTCTGGAGGATTTTGTCAAAGTAGGGTATTTTTCTTTGCCACGCATTGTATCAGCTACAAGACTATTCTGCTGTGTTGCATTCAATATCACTTACTGCTGTGGTCATGTAAATCTAAGCTGATTCTCCTACTCCCCTGGTGTAAACCTACAAGTAACTTGCTGTGACTCTCCATAGGATTCCTCACATCTCTTGAGGTCCTCTTGTGGTTGTAAAGTTTGACAGTGAATCACAGCCACTGTAAATAGCTACTGGCAGTATTATGCAAGTGGATTGCATCCCACCCCTGTGTTGTGTGAAGTTGATGTTCCTCATTATCAATGACAGAGACAAGACATCACCCAGAGTTGTCTTTGTTTAGTGAACCTTGAAGTTAGCTGATGTAACAGATGGCAGAAATAACAACAAGAGAAGTGTGAGGAAAGCATCAAAGTCTGGAAACGTTTAGACGTTAATTATCAGTGTAAAGGATTAATGCTTCCCTGTTTTGTTGTTAGCTGTGATTGCAAAATAAGAACTGGATTGATGGTGTTTAACAATGGAAATATTTTCTTTTTGTTTAGAAAAAAGCAAAAGTATGCATCACTCAGGCTTGGGTGACAAAACTGTGGGTGTAAGATTTGGGGCGTCGTGAGTGTGGGTGCATGCTGGGACGTTTTCCTGCATTCTGAGGGCACTCTTCACCAGGGAGCCAGCTTTCCACAGCCTGCACTCCCCCTTCAAATATGAATCATAAATAGACTGTGGTAGTTGAACAGAACACACATACAGCAGTACATGTTGGCTACTCTGATGTGAATGCTAAGACTCATCCACAAAGATTTCAGGCCACAGTAGCCACTTAGGTACCATCTTAAATATGCACAGAATATTTGCCATCTGTTTGCTTTGGGCATGTGTGGAGAGAAATTGCCGCACAGTGGGATGGTTCATTTATTGATGTAGCCTTTTCTTTTACTGCACTGATGTTTTGTCTGTGATGGTGTGTAAAA